GGGTGATGAGTATTTGACATCAGAGGGATACCGTTCTTGAGCACTATCAAAGTGAAGCCCTTATATGCTAAAGTACTGTCCCCTATAAATCAGAGTGATGCCCTTAAATACCGAAATGATGCTCCTTAGAGTGATGCTCCTATACATCAGAGTGACTCCCTTAGATATCAGAGTGATGCCCCGTATACATCAGAGTGATGCCTTCATACATTCGAGTGATGCCCCATGTACATCAGTTATACTCCCTAAATACTAGTGTGATGCCTGTAAATACCAGAGTGATGCCCATATACATCATAGTAATGCCCCCTAAATATCAGGATGATGCCTGATTTACATCAGAGTGATACCATTACTTAGCGAGTGTTATGTCCCCTAAATAGCAGAGTTGTGCCCTTTCATGCTAGAGTTACATTCACTCTATACATCAGAGCTGCCCTAAAATATCAGAATGATGCCCTCTAAATATCAAGTTGATACATCTTATGTGCCAGAGTGATGTCGCTGTATCACAGTGATACAATTTTTAAGCAAGAGTGATGTGCCCTAAATATCAAAGTGATGCCCTTATATGCCAGAGTAATGCTCTTTGTAGTAAGAGTGATACGTCGCTAGAATACTGTCCCCTATACATCGGTGATGCCCCTAAATACTGAAGTGATGCCCATATACATATAATTCCCCCTAAATGTCACAGTGAGAGCAAGACTGAGGCCCCTTATACCCTTGAGTGATGCTCCCTAAATGCTAGAGTGATGTCCCCAATACATCACATTGGTGCTCTGAAAATGCCAAAATTAAAATTTTTGACGTTCAATCAAATCAAATATATATTTATGAAAATTTCTAGAAATATACGGCCTCTGTTATTTTAAGGAACTTATGTCATTGGCAAATGTTGTTCAAGTCTTATGTCACTGACAAGATCGAACACATGAGAGTAATGCCCCATAAACATCAGAGTGATGCAATCAGCGTGATGCCCCATAAATATCAGAGTGAAACAATCAAAGTGATGCACCTAAATATCAGAGTGATGCCTCCGAAATGTCTGAGTGATGCCACTAAATATCAGAGTGATGCCCCCTAAATATCAGAGTGATGTCCCCTAAAATATCAGAGTGATGCCATCTAAATACCAGTGTGATGCGTTCAAAGCGATGCCCCTAGATATCAGAGTGATGCCCCTAAATATCAGTGATGCCATCAGAGTGATGCCCCTAAAATGTCAGAGTGATGCCCTTTAAACATCAGTGTGATGCCATCAGAGTGATGCCCCTAAATATCAGGGTGATGCCATCAGAGTGATGCCCCCTAAATTATCAGAGTGATGCCCCCTATATGTCATTGTGATGCAATCAGAGTGAACCCCTTAAATATCAGAGATGCAATCAAATGCTAAAGTGATGCTCCTGTACATCAGAGTGATGCCTCCTGAACACCAGAGTGATGCCCCCAAATGCTAGAGGGATGCCCCTGAACATCACAGTGATGCCTTCTGAACATCAGAGCGATGCCCCTTAAATACTAGAGAGATGTCCTTAATATATATTTATGGAAGTAAGGAATATGATAAACTAAGTACCTACGCAAAACGAAACCTGAAATCTGTAGGTAATGCTAAATGCTATGTAGCTAATACATATTACAAGTTTAATGTCGCAAATGTAAGAAGTTAATGCAAAATGTTGAATGCCTTTCAGATCTGTGAATATTACAAAAATTCGAATATAATGGTATTTTGATGCCTAACTGTGTTACTGACCAGTGAATGACGAAGCTTATACATGGTCAATTTTTTATCAATGGCCATTTTTTTCCGATGGTCTGCTAAGGAATTTTTGGTGCCAGTGAGGTCAAGATGTATTTATAAAGCACATCTTTCACCTGAGTACCCAGGTGCGCTTTACAATAAAGTAGAAGCGAGTTTCAATAATTATTTAGTTTAATAATTTGTGTTAAAGAGATTTTATTCTTTAGTCATGGCACTTGGACTCCGTTTTTTTAGCTTTCATGTGCTTTTCCAAGTTCCTGGNGTCTAATTAGTAGGAAAAGGAAAATCG